TGTGCACATGCCTGGACCAATCTTGTTCTCCCAACCCTCTGTTCGAAATATGTTCATTTCGCTTATGTAAATACATTATTTTTCTTCCCCGCAACCTAGCAATTGCATATTTGTTTTTTGTATTTTTCTAGCATCTGTAGGGTCACTTTGACATTCTTCAGGGCGATATTGGAGCCATCCAAGACGGAAATTGCCCATAGGTAAAGAACAAAGATGTAGCTCATGAGGCTGCGACAAATATTCGCCTTCGTGCCAAATCTGTAAAAATTGAAAAGGAACAAACTCTTGTAAAGCAGACACCGTTGCTGATTTACACACATTATTACTCTGTTGGAGCAAAAAATGTGCGCTTTCAGTGTGTATGCAATTTCCATACAAGATCGCCAGGGATTTGAAGCAGCATAGGTGATGAGCAAAACAAATACGTTGATAGTACACCTTGTGCAAAAATCATAATTTCTAAACTATTGATATCCTCATCTTGGAAAAATGGGCCTATAACTATGAAGAGAGCAGTGAAAGGTGCTAAAGTTATTCGAAAAATTTTATGGAGGCCCATTTTTCCTATATGCAACCTGCTCCAACCGGAATCAGGCGAAATTTTGGCTCAAAGGAAAAAAATTTCGCAAAACCTCGTTTTATCCTTCTTTTTATGTTGCGTGAGTAAATAAAATAAGGGGAATTCAATATGCCAACGTCTTACAAATATGACTCCATGCAAGTGGCAGCAAATATCTGGCTGACATCCGTGGAAATATGCCTGCGTATTACAGGCCCAGTTCTCCCTGAATGTGGCTTGTGGCCTCTTCGCTAATTTTTGAAGACTTAAAAGAATCAATAACATTGTTCAAATTGGTTTGCCATTCTATTGGAACTTTATCAAAGAAAAGCAGAAAACTTGTTTTCGAATATTCAGCATGGTCTGATGTCGACAAAATGCGCAGTTATTAATGAAACTGTAACGAAACTTCCATATGGTTTAAAAATTGTTGGGAAGTGCCTAAACACTTCACATCTTTTCAAAACGTTTCAGATCGAATGAGTGCGTGTAAGCAGATAAGGAGCACTTCGAAAAAGTATTTCTATAGTTTTCTTCTGGGTGTTAAGAGGAGGAACATGAGACAGACAGAGATTTTTAACTACCTCTCTCGTGACGCAAAGCCTTGTAAGAAGGGTTCATTGATAATAAGATGCCATAACTTTTCTTTTGAAATTGGCAAGAAATGAAAAAAGAATTGAGCCAGCGAAAGAATACTGCGCGTCATGTTATCATCAAAGAATGCATTCTCGTTAAAAAATAAACTAAATCTCACTGCGTTTCTAGAGCTCCCCACGCAGCACTGCTGAAGCGGAGCTAAACTTACCAAAATTTTTGTAGTAGAGCTAAAATAATTCACGAACGGTTGAGCTCCGGTCCGTACTGTGGGAGGGTACAATGATACCGTTACATTGTGGGTGCTTAAAATGTGTTTATTTATTTCAATAAATTGTTTCAAGCAAATCCAGTTTCAGATAAGTTTCTAAGTCTGAGAGAGAGCAGGGAGCATAGCAATTATAAAGGTTGACTGTTCGATTGTTCTATTGTGGTGCATTTTTTTCGAGAAAGAAAGATTAGGACTAATGATCTTTGATGTCCAGCTGCACAGGCTTTAAGCCAGTCATTTGTAGCACGTCAGAAGCTAAAATCTTACAAACCCATAAATTTTGCTTGCCATTTCGACTTTTTTGCCTTATATAACAAACTCAGATTCGCACTAAGGATTCAATTTGGATTACTTGTTAGAAGATCTCGCATTTGGGGGACATTTAGAACAACTTTTTAGTCACAGTCTTGTAGTCACAAACAACCATGCATAAACCATCAAGTGAATATTTTGCTTAGCTTGGAAACTCAAGTCGAACAAGTAATAGAGTCACTATTCTACTTCATTCAGTTGAAGAAAGATATTTATACAGATATGAAATTTTTGTTTGATTTGGAAAAGCGTTTGAACCGTTTTCGCCAAAGATTGAAAACCAAAGCCTTCTTGCGTTCAAGTGTACACAAGCTTCATTTACTTATCGTTCTTTGATTTTTAAACACTTGCCAATTTCGGAAAACTAGATCGTGCTTGTAATTTTTGGCGACCGCTTGGTGGCATGAATTATGGGTCTTACCAGAGTTCAGTCTTACTGTAAGACCTTCGCTAAAGCTCGAGAAAATAAAATTTATATTTAAAGCGTTACATAGGTTAACTTTTTCGCCACCACTCTTGATAATATGCAACTAAAAATTTATTTTCTGCATTTTCGCAAAAAAGTTGAGAGTGACGATATTTACCAAAATATCAAACACAACAAAAACTCAATGATTCTCGAATCTTCTCCTTGTAAAAAAATGAGTCTCTTGGTGGTTTTCCAACTCGTATTTGGAAGTTCTTCGTCGTAGTGAATACTGTTTACATAATGCTTCCCTCATTTAGGGAAAAGGCGAGATTTGCAAACTCCTTCTCAAGTGACGATGTTTTGGATCGAATGATATTCATTTTCATTTGGGTTCTTTTCACGAGATACGAAGCTATGATGCACTGCTTATGCCGATGATGGTTTTTGAAGATGCTCTTAATTTTGCGGAACTAACGTTTGATTGTTTCGGGTCTCAAAATTTGTAAAATCAAGTTTGGCACATGACGCGTTTACCACTGCAATGGCATTTACCACTTAAAATCGCTAAGCTATGTCCTGGTGAGATTTGTTTATGTTGTTCCTACCGACTACACCTACAACTCTTTTTGTAAGGGGAAGACAGAGAGCATGCTTAATGGGCACTTTTTTCTGACTGAAGGAAAGGCTTTCCAGATTCTTAACACTTTTTAAGCATTTTAGAGCTATAATGCTATATGTATTTCAATAGAATAACTCAGGCGCTCAAAATTTGCTGAAAAGACGGAATTGAGAACTATCATGATTATTCAATAACAAAAATTCTGCTCTTTAACAATTACTGTACCTACCGTACCCACCATCATTTTTTCTGGTTGCTCTTCCGCTTACCGTTCCTGTTCCAAACCACTCTCTCTTGTTCGTCTCTGGCTTTTTCTTCTTCTTTCCCTCTTTTTCTTTCTTAGTAACCATTTCGTATTCAATAGAGCACTCATGATTTTGGTTTGTTTGGAAAAACTGCAGTTTCTATGTGTTCTACCCGTTCTCAGAATCACGAACTTTTTCCAAGTTCGATATTAAATTAAATATTGAGTTTTTTTTCTACTTTGCATGGAATAAGTAAGTAATGTGACATCAGCAGTGTTTGCTCTAGGCTCCAGTAGTAATTGCTTTCGCAAGAGTGAAACAATGTATATCTGACAGGAGATATAGAGATGCTTTTTTATATGACCGAGAAACTGATGACATGGTATTCACCTCAACACTTGTTTAGAGAAGATTTCGGATGAATACCTTATGCGGAGTCGATAGTCATCAATTTTTTTATGCCTTTTTTCAAAAACCAAAAAATTAAGAACAGTGTTTTACCCCAAATAGCTGTCAATTATGACAATCCTTATAAAGCCAAAAAAGAGCGCAATCTTGCAAATTTTCGTTCCCTGTTATATCTAAAAAAATCTTATTTTAGTTTTATCTGGTTTTTGTATAATCAATGACAGATCACAGGCTCAACTCACATACTGGTTTATTTGTTGGAAAACGCTGCACTTCAAAATCGTGCATGTGGGAATTTCAATTTTTCGACTTTATTTCCACTGTGATAAGGGTGCGCATGTTTCAATAACAAAATTTCTTTGACCATAGCCAATTCTAAGATCGACCAATGCTGAGCATTTTTTCTACATCACTTTATTTTCAGCGCTTTTCATTTATATCCAATTCCTTTGACTGAATATCATCTAGACGATACCGCGGCTGCTTTCACCAAAAAAACGGAAGGCTGAAGAACCTTAAAAGCACATCAATCTTACACGATTAAGTGGTACATAAGAATATTTTGAGTATATTGAGGACTAGTAGAGTGATAGCAGATAAGCAGATAGTAGAGTGCTAACTACTGGTGTAACATATTCATCTTTATATTGTTTCTATTGTTTTTTCAGACTCTTGCTTATAAGTGTATTTTTACTTCGACATTGATACAAAGCCTAAGAATACCATTCTTTCTAGTTATCTTTAACTTTCAACTTCGCCAGAGCGAAAAGCCTGAGGTACATAAGTGTTGTTTTTGAAATCTAAATGGGTGAACATCCAGGGCTCGGTACAAGGTGGCTTTTGGAAAAATGCAAAAAACGTCCCCTTGACATTCAAAATTTTACGAAGTTTCCTTGACCTTAAACTCTGAAAAATCTCCAAAAACCGAAACGTCGACCAAAAAAACCGCAGAAGTTTGTGTGTCTTTACGGCCACAAAAGCACGCCCTTTGCTTTTTGTCCCAAAAACGATATCCAGCTTGCCTTCTAAGCCACTTGTCCGAGAATTGTGAATGTCTTTTCACCATGTCAATGCCATCACTCTTAAGTTATTGAAAGGGTCTTCCGATGACAGTGCTTCTGGACATTCTCTCGTAATTTCAGTACAAGCATAACGTGTTCAGTGTCAAGATTAGCACATACAAAATCGATACAATCACTGTAGTGGCCGAGATTTTTATTTTTAGACCAATCCGAATCAAACTTTGCTCACATACATATACTTCGGGGCGTGGATGCTGTCATAGGCTACTTTTTGTGCTTGATCGACTTTGATTTTATCGATTTTTCGCAAATTATAAGCTACGAGGCTGAGAATTGGCACAGCGAAGTGAGCACGAAAAAATTTACTGACAGTGCCAGGCGGAGTCGAGTTTGCCAGCTTATACCTTATAAAAATTTATTTGCATGTCGCAGTTCGATTAAGGAAAGTATTACGAGATCAGTGGTATTATTACCTGTTCCACCAACCTACCTTGAATAGATCAGTGTAATTTCAGCTAAAAGTGGAGTGATATTTTGAATGATCGAGATAATCGCAAGATATTTAACGCAGCATTTATTTAGGGAAAATAGAACCAACGTTTTCAAATTGTCAAACTCATTACACTTTGCAGAACTTGGAACAGGCTTGGTTCCATGTGAGCTTCTCGTAGACCTCAAATGCATTAGTGAGAGTAGAAGCGATTTGACAAAAAAAATTGCTGCTTACCTTTTTTCCTTCTTTTACTTCCTTTTTATCAAGTTTCAGAAGTGCGGCACAAGATTTTTCTATTTCTTTAATGCCTTTCTTGCATTCCTTCTTTATTTCCTTAAAGATAGAAATAACCAATTTTTGAAGCAGGATGTCGTACGATAAATATACCTTATAGGAAATCTTTTCATCAGGATGCAATTTCTTGAAGTACGGACACATCTCGTCGCAATAAACCTGTTCTTCTTCGTTACATGTTGAGAATGCGAAGATGCTGAAAAGCAGAAGGGTGAGAAGCACTCTCATAATTTACAGCTTCTGCTTCTGAAAGGTGTTTTTATAATGACGCACTGCCATTCTGTTGAAAGCGTGCGAAATTGTTGCTGAATTATATTCCTGCTAAAAGCCAAAGGGACAAGATAGAGTGTGAGAGCAGCGGACGAAAAACACTTATGACAGAATTTCTGATAGCTATCATCAAACAAACGTTAATTTCAGTGGCACATGGTCCTAATTCTAATGTAGCTGCCTGTGCAACAAACATGGCAAATGGGTCTGATTAGTTTTTATAACACTGCATTGTCGCTAACTTAAAAGCTTTGCCATACTGCTGGTGAATTATTTTTTCCTTTGATCTAATACAAGCCAAAGGGAACCCACTCAATGGTGATAATAGAATTTCTAATAGCTATTGTCGAAACACTCTTTGAACCAATATTACACGGCCCTTTTCGAGATGCACATTGTTTGTACTGATGTTACACACACTAATGGGTTTTGAATGTCATATTCTTTTGTTGAAACCAAATCATAAGTGTTTGTTTAAGCAGTAAGGCAAGATGCATCAAGAATGTGACTATCACATAACTATTATACAATCTTCCTTCTCATTTCAAACATTGTGCCGAAAGGCTCGGTGAACTATCACAACAGTGCCACATTTCAACAACCACTTTTCAACGACCTTTGAACGAAAAAATTGTCAGCACTGCTATTTTTATTACTTCATCTAAAACAAAGTTGTAACAGTCATTTAAAAAGGCTTAATCTTATATATAAAGCTGAATGTCTCTCTGTCTGTATGTCTGTCTGTCTGTCTGTCTGTACGTATGTGCGGAATAGAAATTTTTATTTCTGAACCGATTTGGAACCCTCCGGGGTGATCAGCATGCTCGATTACCCTCCTGTGCAAAATCCCAGCCCCCTAGCTCAAATTTTGCAAAAAATCGGTAAAATCGACATCGATCGATAAAGAAAAGTGGACTATGACACGCTCCCTGCCCCGAAGTGTAAGTGCGCAAAGTTTGGTCCCGGGCGGAGCAGGGTTTGCCATCTAGTAATCAATAACTATCACAACAGCTTTGTAAACTGTCAGGAGAGTAAATTCATGCACAATTTCTTGTTTGTTATTACAGACAGAGTGGCCTAAATTAGAAAAAGGCCAGTTTTGCATTCTAACTTCTATGAAAATGGTGTAATCAATCTTTGTTTTAATCTCTCGTTTCAGAAAGATATTTGAAAAAAGTGTACGAGCTGAAATGTGCTACTTCTTCCAATTTCAGTGTCTGTCTTAAATAGATTGACTAAAATAGCAACGTTCGGTACTTTTGTAAATTAGCGTTGTCAGCCTGCTTGAGTATAAAGAACCAATGCTCATGAATTTAACAGTATACCTTTTGATTCAACTGGAGTGGCGGCTTAAAGGCGGGCGTGACCTAATTAAGGTCAGGTACATGATCAGTGAGCACGGAAGAGACGCAGACTGCGTCGCGGACGCGAGCAACCTTAAAGGCAGCGTTCCGGCAAAATTCCGAACGGAATTTTCTTCGTTCACCTGGGCTTATTCCTCCCGCTGATTCTGAAAATGCAGCTTGGAGGCACGAAAACGCCGAAAGCGGGCTTTTCCAAAAACTCTTGATTTGAATTTTTTCACCTGCCGCCAAGGTTAAGAGGCAGAGTCTTTGTGGGACCCTACGTCTTGACTGTGTGCAGTATGCGAACTCTGGCTTAAAATTAAGTCGCCCGGTCGCCGAGGCGTTCCGGTCGCGACTTTTGAAGCGGATTCCTTGCTTTTGAAGCAAATTAGTGCATTGTCAGTTGGGCAAGAATCTTACCACGCCGGAAGCCCCTGTACTCTATATTTTCGTATCTGCCCGGACGCTGCCTTTGATTAGCTTACAAAGCCCCGCCTTCCAGCCGCCAATCCAATTGAATAAAAAGTTATTTGTTTTCGTATTCTTATTTAGGCTGTAGTTGTTGTCACTGTAGCATGTTTCATTTATAAAGCACTTTTAGTAATACTATTAGAGTGAAAGATCGCTGTGAACTGAAAAGCTGCGTTGTGGGTTTTTCTCCCTTGTTTTCAAGCAGACAATAACGAAGCTGATTGCAGCAAATACCAAAGCAAGCAAAAACGCTTCTAGCATAAGTGCACAGGCAGTGTACATCCCAACAATGGTCTTATAACGTATGAAATGATTATGGTTGTCAAAATTCTGTCCTCACCACTTTGGATGTTTTTTGTACGTCATTAGATGATGACAAGAAAAAGTGACGTGGGAAAATCAAACTGTTCATTATGAAACTGCTTCTCACTCTACCGCTCCTCAGCATCTCTGCAGTAACATGTGATGTAATCTTTGCTAAGATGCCTGAAATCTGTCAAGAGATGTGTCCCTATTTCAAGAAAAAGCATGCGGCTAATTCTAAGCTAAAATTTCGGGTTGGGGTATGTTTATCGTACGAGTTTTGCTTTGTGAGCTGATAAGTATTCTCATTTTCAAGGAAGTAAAGCGAAAATGCAAAAAAGGCCTCAAAGAATTAGAAAAATCGTGTGCGGAAATGAATAAAATTAGCAGCGTGGAAAGAGGAAAGATGACGAGGGTAGGCATATTCATTCTTTAGTTTCTTGTTCTATTTCGTGCTGTACAGTAACACATTTAAGCCTTTGATGAAATACACTTGGAACGATGCCTGCAACAAATTCTGTAAAGCATAAGTGTCACATTGGGAGCGGACATCTCTAGCTTCTCTGAATAAATATTATGCCGAAAATGTTGCACTTCCGGTAGATATGAGTACGTAAATGACCCTAACTGTTTCATTCTGCTCAAGTTTCATACAACCTTGCCCTATCCCTTTCCTACTTCTATATGCTAGCTTTCTGCAGCAATTTATGTATTTTAGTGGCCAGCATGCACCCTATCGCTTTCCCGTACAAGCCCCAAATTTCGAAAATTTTTAAAATCAGTGAGAGGAGCAGATAAGCCTGAAAATAAGCATTGCATCCCAGCCTCTTGCTGATACCTACTTCAGTAAATCATCAGCTCGACCACGGAAGTAACCCATAAGTTTCTTGTAGCACGCCAACCCAGCCCGTGTGGACATGAAATTTTGGTCCGGATAGGCCACAAAATCTTTTTTATCTGAAAAATGCGGACAGATAAGATACAGGACAGGCACACAGACATCTTAGCGGTTTCAATGAAGCACACACACACTAAGACTACCATAATCTGCGCATATAAACTTTGCGGAAGAAGAACAAAAATGAAAAGAAAAATGGAATATAGATGCCGTTCTTTTGAACAAAAACCAAAGTTCATTCTATCACCTTGGGGGAAGGTAACAGCTGATTTTGAAGGTGATTTGATTACACCTTGCAAAAGCTGCTGCAGACTTGTTTCATATAAGCTTCTTCATCTTCTCAGACAATTTACCGAAACTTCCGCAGGACAAGCAAAATCTGCGGCGGTTCAGCAGAATTTTGCTTACTACTGCAGAAGTGTAAACGTTGAAAATGGGAACTTTCGCGGGACTTTCAACACACCGCTGCGGAACTTCCGAAATATGCCAGCGGTTTCGCAGCACCAACAATTTGAAATCAGTACTTCCGCGGTTTGCAAATGTGTTGTCGTACTATGTTGCCTCGCCAACAACTAGAGTGCATTGTCGAAGATGTGGTCCGTAGTGCAGAGGATGATAGATAGCCTCGCACTCAATGAGTGAGGTCCAAATTTCTTGAGTGTTCTTTTTTGCCGTGGTGATTCGCATCCTTTGGAACTTCCACAGCACCTCATCTGGGAACTCCGGCAGCACGTTTACGGTACTTCCGCAGTACGTTTACGGGACTTCTATAGGTGACGCGACGGCGTCTGAGTTCTAAAATGCGTTATCTGAGAGAAGGAAGTAAAGTACAGGTGGATGCTTACTTTTCTGTGAATTTTTTTGATGATATCGGCGAATTTCGTGATTTCCGCATGAATCTCTTTCTTCAATGCTTTTCTGCATACTTACTTTATGTCCTTGACATTTAAAATACTTTTATCTATCCACAAAGCTGAGTATAATGAGCAAATCTTACAGTCAACCTTTTCACCAAAATCCTATTTTTTTCAAGTACGGGCAACTCATCGCAGTTATTCTTTTGAATGCTCCTAAATTCTGGGATTGCGAAGACGCTGAGAAGAGCAGGGTAAAAAGTAGTTTCATTACAGCTTTCCATTCTGATAAATCTTTTATAGTAGAAGTTTTACTGTCTTATAAGCTATGTTGAAATGCTGCTTTCTGCTTTTTCGATTATTCAAGCGGATAAGGAACCACTAGGAGTCAGTAGGTAAATTTCATTCAGCTATCATCAAAACAGACGTTATAACACTCGTGGTTCCAATTCAAATGTTCATTGCTTGAGCAGCGCATCTGCTAATGGCCATTTGAATCACCTTTACGGCAACGTTACAGAAAGTTCATGAATAATAGCTTAGTCACTACGGTTAGCTCAAAAACAGATAACTGAAATGTTATCCAAGGAAAATCTCTATTTCAAATAAGAAAGTCTAGGAAAGTTCAAGGAAAGCTCAAACAGTTTCTTTCACGGCCGTCCAATCTAGTACTTTTTTGCATTACATTTACGGCACCTTTCACGGAAAGAATTTGGCAACGAGTGTTTTGAGTCTTGGAACATAGAAAGGAAATCATTACGATTCAACGAGCATTGGAGCAATGAGTGTACCTTGATCCTCCCCCCCCCCACCCCCCGAGAATGGGTCGCGAAATTTTTGGAAATCACTTATATGGGTTACAAAAATGCGCAAGTGATTTTCTAGAGGTTGGGGACCCGCAAAAATTTTAAGAAGCACCCCAAAAAAATTTTTGGAGTGCGTGTCTGACGCCACGCACCTAGTGAAAAGTTTTTTTGCAGCTTCCCCCCCCTCCGGTCCGAAGTTTTGGGACCGCCACTGCTTGATCTGTGTTGAACGCAAAACGCAGAAAATCTAGACAAAATTTTCGTAGCAGCCTAGCACTGCAAATTTGGTTGTTTTCCTATTAACCGGGCCTTTTTTTTCTTCAAAGAATTCTCATATTATACGTGCTTTGATTCCAAGGGCTTTATAAGAGATTTTACGAAAACCACCCCTTGCCACGAAGCAGGATGATAAATTGAGTTTCGGTTCAGCTTGATATGAATTATAAAATTTTTGATGGAATGCGAGAGCGTTTGAGGTAACCTGTAGGCTGTCCAGCTGTATTTCACAGAAGTAGAACAATTTTGTTTGCACTCAATCTCCTCAATCTTTACTGCTGTTCAACGATGGTTTACTATAGCCTGACGTTTGGGGTTAGACACCGCAGAGGCCTTGAAAGGTGTTAGTCACAATCCTTATGTTCAGACTGTTTCCTCCATGCGAATTTAGATAGGAAAGAGCTAGTTGATATCAAGGCACAGGCTACTGCTTTTTTTTCGAATGGCGAAACCATTTTTTTGTGCACAAACCCAGTTTTTCATTAAAAAGCGGAAGACATTTTAATGTTTATATTCATTTTTGGAGTTGTTCAGTAAGAATTGGGTCAATACTAATGAGAAACATTTTAAACTTACCATGGTAGATAGGCGACACAAATTTTGGTAAGACCTGATAAACAGGCTGATGTATCATTTGTTTCTGACTCGTGGCAGGAGATTGCAATATTATCTGTGAAGTTGAGACCATATATGTATCCTTTGAGAGTAGTGGTTTGGATGATGGAGAGGTGCCAAAATTCGTTTGCAAAAGTAAAAGGTAGGAGTAGTCAAAAAATTATTTAGTTTAAGTCAGCGATGACGTACTATTCCAGCAGCTCAGCAACCTTTCAGGCTATGGAGGACGAATTGTAATTAGGGGAAAGCTGCATTGCGGTTGGAAGGCGTCCGCTCGCACCCGCGACACAGTCTGCGTTTCTCTCGCGCCCGTGCTCTCTGATTATTTTCTAACCTTGATTACGTCATAATGCCCCGCCTTCCAGACCTCAATCCAGTTGAATCAAAGGTTATTTGTTTTCGCACTCTTATCTAGGCTGTAGTTGTTGTCCTGCAGCATGTTTCATTGGTACAGCACGCCTTTTATTCATAAAGTGAACGCTGTGAACAATGTAGAGAAGCGTTGTGGTTTTTCTTCCTTGTTTCCAAGCAGACAATAACGAAGCTGATTGAAGCATAAAACCAAAGTATGCAAAAAGGGCTTCTAGCATAAGAGTTGCACAAGCAGTGTACATCTCAATAATGGTCTTGTGACGTAAGAAATGATTATGCCTGTCAAAAATTCTGTCTTCACCACTTTGGATGTTTTTGTGCATCATTAAATGGTGACAAAAAAACCCATTTCCATCAGCTTGTCAAAGCTTCTAAAATATTCAATGCCCCTTTATAAGTGACGTGGAAAAATCAAATTGTGCATTATGAGACTGCTTCTCACCCTACTGCTCCTCAGCATCTCTGCAGTAACATGTGATATAATCTTTCCTCTTGACACACATACTGGGATGTGTCAAGAGATGTGTCCCTATTTTAAGAAAAAGAGTCCTAATAAGAAAATTGCCGATAAGGTATGTTTAGTGTACGATCTTTGTTTTGTGAACGTTAATTATTCTCGTTTTTGAGGAAATAAACCAAGAATGCAAGAAAGGCCAAAAAGAATTGAAAAAATCGTGTGCGATAATGAACAAACTCAGCAAAGAGGACAAAAGAAATATGATGAAGGTAAACATATTCTTTCTTTAGGTTTTTGTTTTATTGCGTGCTGTACAGTAATGTAGGAGAGATTGATCTTTGAATGACAGTTGCCACGCGGGTTGTGTTTAGCGTGTAGTATTACCTCAAAAGTGGTAATCAACGTTTATTAGGAGCAGTACACAGTAGTTTGTTCGATACAAGAGAAGTGAGAGAGTGAAGTGCCCCAGAGATTTGTCAACTCAGTTGCTTCTCAGGAACTACTTGTGGACTAATCCTTTAAGACTTCTTAAGTAACTGGATACTTGTCGTGTGGATCTAGTCCTACTCCTAGAATACTTCTGAAGAGACTTCTCGGCACTGGAAACTACTTGTTCTCACCCCAGGAGCTAACCCCCCAACTTATGGAGAGACTTGTCGAAGACTGCTCGACCTTACTCACTGAACGGTATTTATACTCTCTGGATAAATGAACTTGTGTTAACAAGTCAATGTTGGAGTAATGATTAACTGACATGTTATCGCTTGACATGTATGTACTTGTCTGGTGAGCTGCTTCCGTTGCGGGGCACTGTTCCTGTATTAAAGTTTATAAACAAAATCAACACAAGGATAAACATAAACATAAACATAAACAGAACATCAACAAAACATCATAGTATGAATTGGAGGTCGCCTTTGGCGACACTCCCGCCGCGTGTTCTTCAGTTCAGTGACGTGGTCCTCCTCCGATGCTGGCAAGTTCCCATCTTACATAGGCATAGCGTTCCCTTAGCTGGCTCAGCCATCTCCTCACTGTGTCTTTATCGTCCGGCACCGTGCAGATTGCCTTATGGTGGATGCCCTTGGGGATGAGGTCTTCTACTATAGTTCCCTTTATTTTCTCACAGTAGAAGCATGGCCTTGGCTCAAAGCGACATTGCTCTTCGGGGCAGTCTTCAAGGCACAGGTGGCAAAGCTCGTCTCTTCTTATCAGCTCGTATCTGGCACTTGCATGCTTGACTCTTGGGCAGGAGTCTGAGTAATGGTGATCACGCATCCTGCAGAAAGCACATTGAACTTGTACGTGCGTTCCTCTCACTGCTTGTCCGAACTGGCGGTGTGGAAAGACTTGTAGTATCCTTTCCATCTGGCTGATTTCTTCGGCCAACTTGTGGCATTCCATTTCTCTTCTCTGTACTTGTTCTTCATCCGCTTTCCTTTCAGCATCAGTTCGTCCTCTGGTTTCTTGCACGAGTTTGCGAAAGTATCCATTGTCATCTAAGGGTGCTTCTTCGGAATCGCTGCCTGCCTCATCCATCACGACGAGTTCGTTGACTTCCATTTCGCTATCATCAAAAAGATTTGGCGGCTCTGAATCTTCTTCAGTCTTGTCCGACGATCTTCCGTTCGTCTGCGTTCCGGCTTCTTCCATGGTGGGACTTGCTTGACATCCCTTTTCGCCTGTTTCCACGCGCCTTTCCATACTTGTACTTGCCATCTTCGCTTTCAGCACGAACAGTTCCTCGTCTTGTCTCTTCAACTTGTGTTCCAGATTTCTTATGATCCTTCTTTCCTTATCGCTGCTTCGGCTCCTTTCCAGACGAGCGTTTCTGTCCATCTCCTGTTGTCGTTTGTCAAGCTTCTTGATCAAGCACTCCATCTGCTTCGTGTGGTAGTCCATCTCCAGGACCATGGCGTCGTTGTACTCCCGTGGACATGGTCTTGAGCTGTCTGAACTTGTGCTTGGAGGGAAGTGCAAGTCGTAGTACTTGTATAGGAAGGCATAGCGGTTGCATAGCATCAGGTACTTCTCCTTGATCACGCTTGCGCTGAGATGTAGTCGGTTGGCAATCGTCTTCTGCTCTATGGGATCTTCTTGAAGGTTTAGTTCTTCTTTCAGATGATTGTAGTCGTTTTTGATCGCAAGCGTTGCCTCCACTTGTCTTCCCATGGCTTCCTCTGTGAGCTTTAGATGTTCTTCGATGGAAGTCCTTGTGTTATCCTTCATTATGATCGTGAGGCACTGGATTTCCTTGTGAAGATTCGCGAATGCCATCCTGAAATCAAAGTTTTTGAATCTTATGCATCTTCCACTTGTGGTGATGAATTTTATCTTGCTACAATTGATTCTGTCGTTTTTGATTTCAGTTAAAATCAGTGTATAGTTTTCATCGAGATATGGAGATGCTGAGGAAGTCCAGTCTGATAACCGGGTTTGTTGCGAAAGTCCGCATAAGCTTAGGATAGCAATGACTAAGGTGGTTGTAGGTAATAGATGAACGTATGAAACATTCTTGCTTCCTTCGCTGTACTCTATTGTTTTTCGTGACCTCATATTGTATCGCTTGTACGGATCATCGGAGGAGTCGTTTTCACTTGTTCTTTTCACAGTTCTGTCTTCTAACTCGAGAGGCACCAAAAGGTTTACTGGTCTGCGTACTTGTTTCCTGGACGGCAGAATCACAACAGCCTCTCTTATTTCACCATCTTCACTTTTCACAAGCTTTGTTATACGGCCCATTCTCCAAGAATGTCTGGGCTGCACGGCGTCTATAATGAGAACACAGTCGTCAACGCGAGGGAGCGCTTTGGATTTGTTGTGTCCCACTTCCAACTTGTGTTTCTCTCGCAGAGCTGTGAGGTATTGTGTCTTCCAAACTTTCCAGAACTTGTCGGTAGATTTGCAGGAGCTTTCCAGGGCTTGAATAGTTTGCAATTTTGTGCTGAGTACCATTTGTTCTTCGGACGGCAGATATGGCGGGTCTTCCGCATTTGATATAGATGTTTCAATTGGATAATTGAGAATGATCTCATTCTGCACGAAATCAATGGGTCTGATGATGGTTTCGTTGCACGAATCTGAGCTCATGTAGACTAGAGGCCTTGTGTTGAGTAGAGCTTCTATATCAACAAGTGTAGTTGACATTTCTTCGAACGTGTATGTTGATCCTTTCAAAGTCTTGTACAGTGCTTGTTTTACTGATCTTATCAGCCTCTCATAGAATCCTCCCTGCCATGGTGCAAATGGTGTTATGTGCTTCCATACAATTTCACGATCGCTTATATCCCTGGTAACTGCTACCTCGTGCTCCAGACTCTTGATGACACTATCTGCTAAGATTTCTTCTCCCAGGAGAAATGTAGGAGCATTGTCACTTGTGATAGATTTTGGAACTCCTCTTCTTCCGAAAAACCTTCGAAGCATGTTGAGGAATGCTATGGTGGAAAGGTCTGTTACTACGTCTAGGTAGATAAGCCTAGTCACCATGCAAGTGATAATCGCTCCGTAACATTTACTTGTGCCGCCTTCGCTAGTTTTTATTGTCAGTGGGCCGAAGTAGTCCAATCCGACGTGTTGAAAGGGACACGTCTGCTGTACCCTTACTTGTGGCAAGTCACTCTGATTGGGGTACTTGTACGGTCGATTGTTGAAGCGCTGGCATTCTACACATCTTCGGATGATACGAGTAACTTGTGCGCGTAATTTTGGTATCCAGAATTTCTGGCGAACAAGTGCGATTGTATGGCCTATGCCAGGGTGTCCTCTACAGTGATATTCCCGAATTATCGCTTCCGATAGCCAAGAATTTTGGAGAACGATGTAAGGAAATTTTGCTGTATCATGCAAGCAGCTTTTTCCCATTCGACCGTGGCATCTCATGAGACCTTCGTTGTCCCGTTTTATATTGAGTTGCGTTAACGATTTCAATACTGCTGCTGTACAAAATGTTCTTTGATGGACTTGTATAACAATCTTCCCCGCTATTGCAATTTCTTCTCCATCAAGGTACACATTGTAGCGTCCATTGTAATTTCCAAGCAATGGAGGAAGACGGATGTTGCTCTGTGATCGTTGATTGACTCTTTTGACTACAACCTTTATAAAGCGTAACATTCTTGCTGTGATCCTTTTGATCGTAGAGAATGGGTAGCCTCTTAAGTCTTCAAAGATGTCAGAGTGTTGCGGGTCGATTGCCTCTGACACGGCTTGGTTGACGAGTGCCAACTCAGCTGGCAAACTCATGTCGTCGGTTTCCTCAGTCATTTGAAATAACTTGTAATTTGTTAGCCAGGTTTCCGGTGAATCTCTCAAGAAGGGTGGTCCTGTCCACCAGAAGTGGTCCTTGAGTTGTCCTTTACTCAATCCTCTTGTTCCGCAATCTGCTGGGTTCTGTTCAGTAGGAACATAACCGTAGTAGATCCTAAGACCTTTACTTGTTAGGTGATCGTCTATCTCGGTAATCTCTTTCAGTCTATTGAGAACCATCACTCCTGCATCCTTGAATGGTTTTTTCTTTATCCAGTTGTAAACGATTTCGGAGTCCGAAAAGAGATATACCTTCTCGATTGCGGTAATAACTTGAAGTTGAGTCACTACCGAATTTATCACTCTCATGGCTAAGGTGACGGCATTTAGCTCCTTTTTTGGTACTGTAGCCTCGTATTTGATCGATGGCAGTTTTCCCTTCGCTAACAAGAGACTGGTTACAGTTTCTGACTTCAGATAGACGCACATGGCTATAGCTTCAGCACTGGCATCAGCGAATGCAGCTAAGTCTACCTTTGCATGCTTCCTGGTTAAAAATCTTGGTATCTCCTTGCTGAATCCTCGCATACTGTCGCATATTTGTTGCCATTTATGTGCACGGTCTCTATCTAACGTGGTATCCCAGTCAATCTTGTCCTTCCAAAGTGACTGGAGAAAGACTTTTGACTTGTGGATCAATGGGAGCATCCAACCCATAGGGTCATAAATAGAGGCTATTGCGCTAGTGACTGTTCGTTTGGTAAGCACTTTTGGTGTGATCATGTTGCATGAGACTTCAAGTCGGTCCGTTAAGGAGTTCCAGCGTATTCCCAAAACCTTTGGCGATAGTTCCGACGATCTATCTCTACTTGCAATTCTATTCATCACTTGTTCTTCGTTGCTCGTAAATTCGCGTAGATTCATGCTGAGCTCTTCGAACATCTGTTTCATTTTCCGGTAACAAGTTGAGGCTTCTTCAACCGTATCTAATGTCACTACCAGGTTATCTACATAAAGATTGTCTTTGATTTCGTCTATCATC